ATCTATCTATCTATCTATCTATCTATCCATCTATCTATCTACAGTGTAGATATATCAATGAAAATCTTAGGTCACAGGCTCCTCCAACAGCGCAACACAATAAAACGGATAGAATAGTTCAAATAGTGAAAGTAAACACAAATAAAATAGAGTAGTTGTATTTAAATATCAGAAGCTGAATAACATCAGAGCTGTAATGATCTGCTGATAGGATGTTATGTGTCGTACCTCAGAGTCGGGTCTCAGCGCCCTCAGGTAACTCTTCAGGTCTCCGTGGGTCATCAGCTCCATCACCACCAGGGTGGGCTGCCCTTTGGAAACCACGCCTAACAAACGCACCTGCAGGGAGGAATAAAGAAACACACACACCATCATACAGAGGAATTAAACTATATTCACCTTTAGGGGCTGGAGAGCACTTCAAATCACTTCTTCTTCACTGGCATTCCTCCCATGTGTTGACAACCATGCACATTCCCTGTATACTTCGTACCTTTCTGCACAATGCTACCTTTGTTAAAACTGCACAGCTATTCCACTGCAAATTCTGTTAGACTGCACGTTTACATTTTCTGAGTAATGTTTCATATTGTTTTTGTACTTGATTTTTATTGTATAGCAGAATAGTTTTATGTTAGTTATATATTTGTTCCTAGTCCGGCAGTGGCTCAGTCAGTAGGGGCTTGGACTGTGAGCTGTAGGGTCGCCGGTTCAAGTCCCCGAACAGACCTAAATATTGAGTGCTACTTGGAGAGGTCCCAGTTCACCTCCTGGGCCCTGCCGTGGTGCCCTTGAGCAAACCAGACTGTGTTTATGAATGATTGTTGTACACCAAAGCTACTCAGTAATAAACCTGTTTCTGAGTCTGATAAACAACTTTTGCATCAGAGCTGTGAGAGTAATAACTAAGTGTTGTGTAGCGTCGTACCACGTGGTGGCAGCTGAAGGCCTTCATGACGGACGCCTCGTTCAGGAACTCGATCCTCTCCCTCAGGCTGGCCGACTCGTTGACCGTCTTCACAGCGACGCGTGTGTCGGGGTCTCCTTTGATGATGTCCTTAGCGAGACCCTCGTACACCATCCCGAAGGAGCCCTGCCCCAGCTCCCGCATCACCAAGATCTTATCCCGGGGAACCTCCCACTCATCGGGGACATACACTGCACAGAACAAGACAAAAGCACCATTACATGACCCATTTGTATTTGTATTTCTGTTGTAAGGCAAGGCAAGGTTATGTATTTACTGTAGCACCTGTAGCAATTCAAAGTGCTTTACAAAAATGAAACACATTAAGAAAATGGCATTTAAAAACAGTCATTAAAAAGCAAAGATAATCAAATAAACATAACAAGAAAAAATACATGAATAAAAGTTACAGTGCAGTTTAAGATGTGAATAGTTCAATTAAAAGCAGCGGCAAAAAGAAAAGTCTTCAGCCTGGATTTAAAAGTAGTCAGAGTTGCAGCGGACCGGCAGGTTTCTGGGAGTTTGTTCCAGATATTTGGAGCATAATAACTGAACGCTGCTTCTCCATGTTTAGTTATATATAACTATATTTAACTATATATAGTTGTACCTATACGCTCACTTTGTTTTATGGGGTTTTATATTGTTGCACTGATTCAGTTGTCTTGTCAACATGCTGCTGAGTAAAAAAAAACAATCCCCAATTTGGGATAAATACATCAAATCTTAGTTAATCTAAAATAATAATAACTTATCTTTTGAAATACATAAAAAGATTTCATTGCTTGTCTCACCGTCGGTGGTGCTGATGTACTCGGGGTTTGACGAGGCGATCAGAGGTCCGGTCGGTCCTTCGGTTTGTCTGAAACACAACCACAGAAACCATCTTGAGACTCTGACAACTGTAATAACATGTGAACTTTCTCCAGAATGTGCTTCTTTATGTGTCCCGTCATATACTCCTGATAGATCCTTGGCTCAAAGTACTCAAAGTTAAACCCTATTCTTCAAAATATAACTGAAGTTTTTGAAAGGATATGAGCAGCATTCCCTCTTTAATCTGATATAGAGTAATCAGCTCAGGTTATATGTGGATCATCTTGATAGTCAAATATATATTTTTAAACTGTTTATTTAGAAGAGGCAAAAGATACACATAGAGAATGATGACACGACAGCTCACACACAATAATAATTAAAAAAAAGTATTTACATTTCTTTGTATAAAACTATTTAAAAAAAGAAATATGACGTTTTAAAATGTACATTTATTGTGATATTAATTATATTGAAGTAAATCTTTTTTAAATTAAATTGTTTGTGCTGATGTAAGATCCTACCTCTTCTTGAAGATCACTAAGACTCCCCCTCCCACAAACAGCAGCAGGATGAAGCAGATCACCGGACCCATCACGATCCAGATCAGACCTTGATCCGCTGTGAAAACAAACAGGTATAAAAGTCAGGTCTCAATTTAAGAGTAATAATCTGTCATTCTAAAGTAGGTCTTGGTTTGTTCAGCCGGGGGTCTTACGGTTGGGCATGAAGAAGTAGGTGGTCTTAGTGAAGGACCCGTTCCCTGCCAGCGAGGTGGCGCGGACCCTCACGCTGTAGTTCCCCGGCTGAACCAGAGACAGCTTCGTCCCGCCGGACTTCATGTAGGCCGGCCGAGAAACACAGCCTGTGTGGTCCTGAGGAGACAAAACACACACACCTGAGCAGGAGAAAACACACACACCTGAGCAGGAGAAAACACACACACCTGAGCAGGAGAAAACACACACACCTGAGCAGGAGAAAACACACACACCTGAGCAGGAGAAAACACACACACCTGAGCACGACAAAACACACACACCTGAGCAGGAGAAAACACACACACCTGAGCAGGAGAAAACACACACACCTGAGCACGACAAAACACACACACTGCATAAGAATTTGTTTAACATGTAATCAATAGTCAATTGAAAGTTAATATACAACATGTGTTAATCTTGCCTCTTTGCAATAAACCATATATTATATTTGAACGTCTGTCATTTGATTAATGTCTCTTTAAATAAATCTGTGTTTTTTTTCTCGGTGCAGATGTCCCCTGCTGCTGCATCCCAGTCTTCCCTGCCTGCCTCTGTCGCTATGGTAACAGAGCCGGCTCCTGGGGTCAGGCGGTGCATCGAGGAATAGCAATGAGAAACCAGATCTCACATTTGCAGGGTAAACAACAACAACAACACCACACACACTTACAGAATCACACACACGAGCACTGCTCACACGGGAGGAACGACCTGACTGCAGAGAAACTAGCTAACGCTGTGAGATTTTGGACAAATATGTAATTTATTCCGCTTTTTTACTTTTACTCCAGTTCTTTTCCCCGTACATTGTCAATAAAAACCTTTGAAGATTTGGCAGCGTTCACCAAAAAACAAAGTTCTTTTTTTTAGTGGTCGAAAATACAGCAATGTTCGGATCAATTACTTGTTTCATCTTTAATTAAAGGTGAATTTATTCTTGTATTAAAATCACTCAATAAGCATAATATGTTACGTAGTTTATCATTACATCCTGGCTGTCTTTTCACACTAAAATAGTCTTCAGGTCCTCTAGAGTGGACATACTGTACATTTCAAAAAAGTCTAAATTGCAAGATGGTTTTTCGAACCCTAAATAGATAGGAAATCACAAAAAAAGGAAATTCGAAGACCATATTTGATTCGGTTCCCAGGAGGATGTATAAGACAGAATTCGAAGATGTTTTTTCTGCCTGTCTCTCCTGGGTCTCTTCTTACCTGCATCCATGTTTCTAATGCACCTGTCTGCTCTCTGTGCTTCTCCTTCCTACAAATCATGTCTGTTTCCTGTGCCCTTCCCTTCAGGAAACCTCCCCCCCCCCCCAAATGGACTTGTTCCTGCCTCCTCCTCCCTAAAGGTGTGGAGATACTGACCTCCGATTCTCCGACCTTCCTGTAGAAAACCTCGTACAGGATGATGAGGCCGTTTGGGGAGCGGGGCGGTTCCCATTTGATCATCACGTAGGGGGGCTCGGTGTTCACGATCTCATGGGTCACCTCGCCCGGGATCTCGTCTGCTTTCACTGCAGGAGCCACACATGGAGACAAGCATTAAAAACACGTGCAGTGGAAAGAACTGCATGTACTTAACGTTATTAGTTAGAATCTTTTCTTCCTGACTGTCTCTAGAAAGTGGTTTCTTTGGGTGCTCATGTGCTTTGAATGCATATTTGTGTTTATTGTTGACCCACTATATCCTTTCTTACAGCTACATGTGTCAGGAAATCTCAATGACTATGTTTACTTGGACCAAAATGTTACATTTGCTGCCATTATTCTTAAGCCGTTTCCTTACATGAAGCCATGCGTACTCCAACGATTCCACAAAAATTTCTTATCTACTTAAAAACAGTAATTCATGGCATATGATTCATGTGTGAAATAATTGCATTTTTATCTATTCCTCGTTCTCAGACATATTAAAAACCCAGAAAATAAGGTTTTAAAAAATACAAATAAATAAGTAGATAAGGAAAGATGTTTTTTATTTATTCACTGCATCGAGGCAAGCCTGCGAAATGTCATGTGTATCCGAGTATAATGACAACAGAGATATTCTGCTTCTACATTTTGGTGTCATGTATCTACTGTACCCAGTGAACTTTCCACCGAGTGTGTATGTGTGTGAGGTGTGTGTGAGATGTGTGTGAGATGTGTGTGTCCTCACCCTCGGGCATGGTGCGGGCGCTGACGTAGGTGGCCATGCTGCAGCGCTTTATCTCGGTCGGGTGATTGCAGGCCATGATCTCGATCTTATAGCTGGTGAAGTGGTGCAGGTTGGAGATCACCGTGGACTCCTTGGAGAACACCTTCAGCTCCACCTGAGCAGGAACATCAGACAGGTGTGAGTACTCCAGCAGTGAAGGTGATATGAGTTCATTTTAATTAAGCAAAAATATGGACAATATTTCACGGAGAAAAATATCTTCTTTTGACATTTGAGGTTAGAATGAACAGGAACTGCTCTATGTGACATTGTTTCAGACAAAAGCTAAAATATGTGATGTTTTTGGTGACAATATGTGTACACAAGAGGATAATATATTTGATTGTATTAAAAAACTATGAATAAAGCAAAAAGTTGAATTTATAGATTTCTATTTTAGTTTTCACTGACTTTGAGAAACTTCAGTTTTAATTTCCGTATATTACATGATTGATGTTTCAATTTTATTTAAGCTATTTTCTTTTAAATAACTTAAATGTTATTCGTCCCAGTGACTCACATTCATTAGAAGCATTTTTCAATACACAGGTAGCATCTCCTCATATGAGATGTAGTGATATTTCCTTTTTCTAATAATATATCTACATATAAGAATACTTGATTTTTCTTCAATAAATGTCCACTCAAATGTGACCTGGAGATTTAAAATTGAATACGTAAATGTAACACAACACAGGACACAGTTCTTAAATGGAATTTTAGTCATATTTCTATATTCTAGTGATATTATTATCGAGAAATCTGGATTTTGAGTTAAAGATATCCATTGCAATGTGATCTGATGCCTTCAAATTGGTAACTTCGTGTATCAATACAATACAAGTCCAAAACTGGAAATCTAGGCTTGGGGAACAGTAAATTGTTGACATAAGGTTAATGTATTTGTGTTGTTTGTAAAATGTAAAGTGTTTGAGACCTTGGACCCCTCCTCGTCTTCGTCTTCGTCTTCAGGGCTGGCTGTGGTGGAGCCGAACTGCAGACCTGGAACTGTGGTCAGGAAGAAATTAGGAAGCGTGGCGTTGGCGACGCCCACTGAGCGTCTGCGGCGGGAAGATCTGGAGGAACACAGAAACACGTAGAGCGAAATGTTAGCGAAACTGTGACCGAAAACCAAAGAAAAGGCATTTTTTGAGCCTCTTTTAACACAAATTGCTCTCAGAAAAGTCAGGAGAGAATATAAAAAGGGAGAAGCATTTGATTTGAATGAGACCCTGGCAGTGTGACCTCTGCTCACACTAACCTTTACAGAGTGTAGATACTCGGACTGCATGACATTAACCAGAAATACCTCACACTACTGGAAGAGATACCACCCCCCACCACAGGATGGTGCTAATTAGCAGGTTAAATACTCTCATGAGTTTAAACCCACCACAAAAACAAACACATAGTTGTACAGACAGTTAGAGTGATCAACTATCTTTGTGTAAATGTAAACTGTGTGTATACTGTGCTATCTGAAAATTGCTGATGGATACGGGTAGATTTCGTTCAGGTTATGCTCAAAGTTGGTCAAAAACTCTGTCAGAATGCATTTTCAAACCACAAATAAAATCTGTATTCTTAAATACTGGATGGAAAGATGTTAATGTTGAACCGAAGCTCGCTCAGTTAGGAGGAAAACACTTCCTGCATCCCTCTGCGTGACGGAAACAGAAACACGAGGAGGTCTCTGTGTACTTCTCAGTGTGGAGCTGACCTGGCCCATTCAACAGCGTGGGTTCAGAACCAGCGGAGGTGTGTGTGGTGTGTGTGTGTGTGTGTGTGTGTGTGTGTGTGTGTGTGTGTGTGTGTGTGTGTGTGTGTGTGTGTGTGTGTGTGTGTGTGTGTGTGTGTGTGTGTGTGTGTGTGTGTGTGTGAGAGAGAGTCCAAATGGCAGTGTGCATGACTGCACCTCTGACTGGCATGAATGATAATGGGCACAGTAAATACTCCCCAAGGGAAGCGGAGGGAGAGACTGTTTGTCTGTGTGTGTCTGTGTGTGTGTGTGTGTGTGTTTATGTGAGGGGAAAGGGTAGGGGCACCGCGGCCCAGAGTACAGCACCTCCCCCCTGAGCCCCGAAAACAAGGTTGTAGGTAATCATACGCTCTGATTTAGACAATTTTTAAACAAATGAACTGCTAAAAAATGAACTAAAAGGGACAGATGCGCTTATTTCCTCTACCTTGGATGTGTAATTATGTATTTCTGATTCTGCAGAGTGTTCTGTATTTTCTGCAGTTTGGATCCAGATGTGTTTAACATTAATCCCCCCGCCGTGTACCTGCTGTCGAACACTTCGTTGTGCAGGTAGTTTTCGAAGGTCTTGCGGTACTCGATCTCCTCCTGCTCCTTCTTCAGCTGGTTGTCAGTCTTGGGGCAGGCGCAGCACCGCCCCCCCGAGCTGGGTTCGTCCGTGTGGTTCCACTTCTGCTCGTCCTCGCTGTCCAGGTGGGTGGGGGTACGGGACGGCAGCTTCATCCCTGTGCAGACATAAAAACACAGATGAGGGGATAAGAAATGTGGACAATCATCAAAAACTTGTTTATGAAAGATATCCCAATCTGAGCTCTTGAAACACTGCTTAAATACTTCTTCTGATTCATGCCTGAGATCTTTATTTGAAAATGTACAACAGCCTCTTTGGTTAAAGGTGAGAAAAATACATTTTTCAGATGGATGGATTGATGATTTTAGGGTAAAAGGCACGAATGTCTAAAAAAACGTAATGTGGAATCTGTTCAAATCGTCAATTCTGATGCAGAAATGTGCAAAGGACTGGGGATGTTGAGCTCTCTAAACCAAAGTTTGAGCACAATAGAAAGAATATGTAGTACTATATTAAATCAGGTACTATAAAGACACATTACAAGCTGACCAATCAGTAACTAGGTAACTAGATTTGAGTAACTTACAGGATACTAGTTAGCAACAGCTGACTATTTTAAGGGTCCAAGAAACTAATCTACCCGAAGAAAACACGCACTTTAAAACACAACATTACACTCCAAATGTATATTTATTATTTATGTATTTAGGAGCAGATTTGAGGCTCTGAGATTTTGGACTCTGACCTTGCAGGCAGTAGTCGAACTTGTACAGGTCTCGGTCCTCGCTCTGCTTGCGGCAGATGACCCGGTAGTGGGTGATGTTCCCGTTGGGGCTGGTGGGGGGCTTCCACTTCAGGATGATCTGAGAGGAGGAGTTGGAGGAGGAGATGGGGTCCAGAGGAACAGAGGGCTCTGAGGGGGGGGGGGGAAGAGGAACAGTCAGGACGACATTGTTGGTATATGACTTTAGGCCACATTTACACAATACTACTTATTGTCTATTTTGATCAAAATGTGTGTGTGTGTGTGTGTGTGTGTGTGTGTGTGTGTGTGTGTGTGTGTGTGTGTGTGTGTGTGTGTGTGTGTGTGTGTGTGTGTGTGTGTGTGTGTGTGTGTGTGTGTGTGTGTGTGTGTGTGTGTGTGTGTGTGTGTGTGTGTGGTGTCTGTATGGTAGTTTAACTCACTGGTGGCGTTGGTGCGGACGTAGATGATCTTGCTCTTGGCTCCCTGCACCTCGTGCTCGTCGGAGGCGGACAGCTGGGTCTTCACCATGATGGCGTACTGGGTCCAGGGCTTCAGCGGGCGGATCAGGTGACCCGGGTCGTCCGCCTTCTTCCCGTCCGTGGAGCGGGCCGGAGGGTCCACGTCTGCAATCGCCCAGCTGTTGGAGCCGCACGCATCCTGCCCGTCGAACTCCGTCACGTTCCTGTACGGCCTGCAGGCGGGGGGAAGAAAGTGATCAGAGAAACATCAAAACACAGCGACACATCTACAGTGAGGAGATTGTAAAGAGGACATTTTGGTTAATATATCCCTATCCTTTGTACATTTTAAACACACATATCTAAGTTTGTCGTGGCGTTTTAATCCGTTTCTACATTTAATATCCACTTTATGACGCGCCTCTCTTTGCTTCCAAACAAACTTTGCGGAGATCGTTGTAGCGTTGAATCACATCAGATGTATTCTTTGATCAAGGCGGCATACAAACATGAAGACAAACTTCCTCGCTTCAAAGTAACTAAAAGTTCTCCGTATCAAAATAGAACTAAAAGAACACGGTCAAAAGACGATACCGCTTCCCATCGAATCACAAAACTCAGCTGTGTCCCATTGTCCTGCCATATATAGGCATACAGATATGAACGTCATACCTGACAGCGCACATTGGACAGCAAATAAGTGTTTTCACATATTTTAAACTGTAGTGTGACTCACAAAAATAAATAGTTAAACTTTTTATTTTGTATTTTATTATATATGTTGCATTGTTGGAGGAGCTCAGGTCAGAAGAATTTCATTGCCATTTCTACACTGCTTTGTGCATATGACAATAAAACCTTTGAATACGATTGATCTATTCATGTCCTTTGAATGCACCTGATCCTAAACGTTACATATCTTAAAACCCATGTTGTTTTGTACATAAACACTTCAACTTAATAAACTTGTTTTGTGCCAGAGTAAGGAAACATCCCAGGGTGAGTGTGAGATACTTACGCCTCCTTGTAGAGAACCATGAATCCCAGCAGGTCTCTGAAGTCTAACGGCCAGAAGGGCTCCCACTTCAGCATGATCATGTTGGAGGTGGTCTTCATCACGGTGAACTTCAGCAGCTTGGTCTCACCTGAGAGGAAACACACCACCATCAGAACATGCATTTGGTAAAAGAAATCAGAATCAGACTCAGAAACAGGTTTATTTCCAGGTAGGTTAACACATACGAGGAATTGTACTTGGTGTTGTGGTGCATACATACAAATAAAATTAAAATTAAAAGAGAAAAATGAACATCAAACACTTTGTACTGGTTCTGATTTTCAGGTTAATAATAATTTTGTTAATGCTGAAAGTCTACTCTTTTGATTTGGATTGGACCGCTGTAACGCTGTAAATGTCCCCACTATGTGACGAATACAGGTTTTCTGATTCTGAATTTAAAATACATTTTTTCAACAATTGTGGAAGAAATATATTTGATGGAAAAACGGACTTATAAATTGAGATTGCAAGAAACACGACTCAACAGAAAGTGGGACAAATGTACTCTATACAAGACTCAAAACAAAGACATTAGACTGGAACAATAGCTACATGTATCTTCAAGAATATAATAACATGCAGACATATCCCTAGTCTTTCATTTCATTTTTTATTTTGTATTGCCTTGCTGGCCTTTTGTTACATGATTGTAATGTTGTTGTAACCAGCATGTTATTGCCATGTATAATGTGACAATAAAGATTTAAAGTGGACCTATCATGCTATATTTGAATAATATAGTGTAGGACCATACCTATATAAGGCATATTTATACTTTATACCAAACAGATCATGCATTTTAGCCATGCCTCATTTTGCTCAATTTGACATTTTTTAGCTGTTTGTGTAAGGGCAGATAAGGGCAGAACAGCACCATCTACAGGCCTGGCATATGTACTACAGCGTCTCCAGCGCTTTCAAACGGAAATGGCCGTGGCTGTCTCCTCCTGATTGGTGGTGTTGGCCCAATAGCCGTAGCGCCACCGTCCTGACGTCAGGACAGTGTTCAAATCTGGATCAGTTTTTATCAGATCCGTTGCCGCCCCTTTTTTAGAGATTTGGGTATGGAGGAAAATAGAGAGGGTTGTGTTTTCTGACACTTGGTGAGTTCCCTGGAACACCGGGGACACATATTCATGTATAAAAGACGTACAAAAGTGCATTTTGCATGATAGGTCCCCTTTAAATTACAAAACATATATATACATTTAATCAATAAGGTGTTAAATATCTGCTGGTCTTACAGGAGGCCTGGTCCCCGTTGTTCCTCACAGCGATGTCGCTCTTCTGGTTCCTCTCCTTGGTTCCCGTCACCTCCTCCATCTTCCTGATCTCCGACATGCAGAGTTTGGAGTTGTAGTGGAAGAAGGTGCGGCCGCGCCGGATGGTCAGGTTGTGTTTGGACCAATCCCAGAGCTCCCTGAGGTTCTGGTTATCCAGAGCGTAGAAGGCAAACACACTGAGAGGGAGAGAGGGAGAGAAGACACCATGTTTGTTTAGGAGAGGAGGACAGAGGAGAACTTAATCCGGGATATAGATTCTCTTTTTGGGATTAATGTATTTTTATACATGGTCCTTGTTCAATTAAATTAAAAAGGAGAGGAGATAATAGTAACAGGAACGAAATAGACAAAGGAAAGGAAGGGATAGGAGAGCAGATCACAGGAGACAAGGGTAGAGGAAAGAAAAGGAGAGTAAGAAGAAAATGGTTGAGGAGAGGAGAACAGAGGAGAGGAAACAAGGTGGCAGGACACAAGGGGAGAGGAAGAGGAAAAGACAGGGGTAAGGAGGAGAAGAGACGAAGGGACAGGAGACAAGGTAAGGGTAGAGAAGTTGAAAGGAAGAAAGACAGAGAAGAGGAGACAAGGGAACAGGGAACAAAGGGAGAAGAGAAAGGAGGAGAGTAGAAAAGATCATAGAAAGAAGAGAAAAGGGAGAAGACGACCAAAAGAGGAATTGAGGACAGAGGAGACATATTAGAGGAGGCCAGAGTTGAGGAGAGAGGAGAGGGAAGGAGACTCACTCTCCCTCCAGATGCTCTCCCCTGATGATGCGTAATTTTCGGAGGAAGGAGAGGGAGACGAGGGCGTAGGCTCTGCGGACCGTCAGGAAGCCCGTGATCACCTCCAGCTGACCCAGACTCGCCTCCAGCTCCGCAGCGATGTTATCTGCAGGGAGATACAACACAAATAACATTTACACCTTGCTTTGTTGGTATTGTGTTGATGTTTCGGACCTGAGGGGGGGGGGGGGGGGGGGGGGGGGTGACCTTGAGACTTATTTATTATTTTACGTTTGAGAGGAGGTTTATCATAAAGTCGCAGTTGTTGATTTAAGAAGTAAATTAACTACCTAGTAAAAATACTTGAATTCAAGATTCAAGGCTTTATTGTCACGTGCACATTAGCTACAGTGTAGATATGGCAATGAACATCTTAAGTCACAGGCTCCTCCAACAGTGCAACATGAATATATAAAGGACATTAAACAAATACAACAGATACAATAGTGCAAGAGAATGTTTTGAGATGTGCAAGTTAATACAAATAAAATTGAAATAGTGCAAGAAGAGTCTATATACAAGTAAATGGATTGTCCCTACTTGAAGAATAAGGGTGTCAAGAGTTGTAAAATAGTTATTTTTTATTCTCAATTCATGCGCATGATCTATGGTCCAATGGATGCATAAGATCTGCTTCCAACTCTGAATCCACTCTTCATACATCCATGGTTAAGTCAGGATTAATGCAGACTTCCTGTTAGAGTGTAAAATAACTTCCTCTCCCTACTAGTTGGTTTGGAGCGGTAGATAATATGAAGGACCCTCAGATAGGAGGTGGGTAAAGGAGAGGGTGTTGGGGCTGGATTGGAATTGATCCATAGTGGAGGAGCAGAGGCTCAGCAGGTGGAGGCTCGATGCAGCAGCACTCACTTCCTCCTCTGATCTTGATGATCATGTTGCCGTGGAGAACGGTGCATCCTCTCAGAGCCTGGGCGGACATCACCGAGTCGATGGTCTTATTCCCTACACACAGTTTGGGACAGAGGCCGGCACACGGGGAACAGGTCAGCCTGCAGAGAGAGAAGAGATAGAAAGACAAGTGTTAAAGGTCACCTATTATGTAAAATCCACTTGTTCATGTCTCTTCTACATCAACATGTGTCCCCTCTTCTTCATGTCTCTTCTACATCAACATGTGTCCCCTCTTCTTCATGTCTCTTCTACATCAACATGTGTCCCCTCTTCTTCATGTCTCTTCTACATCAACGCGTGTCCCCTCTTCTTCCTGTCTCTTCTACATCACCATGTGTCCCCTCTTCTTCATGTCTCTTCTACATCAACATGTGTCCCTCTTCTTCATGTCTCTTCCACATCAACGTGTGTCCCCTCTTGTTCATGTCTCTTCTACATCAACATGTGTCCCCTCTTCTTCATGTCTCTTCTACATCAACATGTGTCCCCTCTTCTTCATGTCTCTTCTACATCAACATGTGTCCCCTCTTCTTCATGTCTCTTCTACATCAACGCGTGTCCCCTCTTCTTCATGTCTCTTCTACATCACCATGTGTCCCCTCTTCTTCATGTCTCTTCTACATCAACATGTGTCCCCTCTTCTTCATGTCTCTTCCACATCAACGTGTGTCCCCTCTTGTTCATGTCTCTTCTACATCAACATGTGTCCCCTCTTCTTCATGTCTCTTCTACATCAACATGTGTCCCCTCTTCTTCATGTCTCTTCTACATCAACATGTGTCCCCTCTTCTTCATGTCTCTTCTACATCAACATGTGTCCCCTCTTCTTCATGTCTCTTCTACATCAACATGTGTCCCCTCTTCTTCATGTCTCTTCTACATCAACATGTGTCCCCTCTGTGTAAAGAGATTCTGAAAGTTTCAGGAACAAAGACCCCCTCTCTTTTTATCCTGATCCATTTATATAAAAACCTGTCTGAAAATGAGCTGATCAGATTTTGGCCACTTTGTGATGTCATAACGATGTGTTGGCTTGTGTAACCATTAGCCAATCACCAACCAAGGTACCCCCCCCCCCCCCATTTTCTCTGGTTTTTAACAGAGATACATGTCTTTTATTCACTGAACTCAATTCTGAATTCAACAGGCATGCATTTTGGCTTTAAATCTGAGATTTCTGTTCACTCTTGTTTTTCAAATGCACCTATTTTCTCTCTACTCATCCCTCTCCTATACACCTGTTTCTTAAAAAATATGAACAAAGTGTTTTACTGCTCCTTCTTATTTTTACCTTATGTTCTCTGCCTATAATAAAAGACTAATATAATAAATATACTTGTGGAAAATGTACAACCAAATATAAAATAACAAAGACTTTCTAGTAAGATTTATGAATTGTGTACCTACAAAACTAACTAAATATAATAAAAACAGAATGCATGTTTCTCAAACTGATGACTTAAATGAGAGCCTTTCAATAAAGAGCTGATGTATTTGGAGGTGAATCTTTATAAATCTCCTAATTAATTAGATAATTCCCACAAAGAATCTATAGGCTTTGAGGAGAGGAATTAGATAACGCAATCTCTCATCCACATCTGAGCCTCCTTCATATTTATTAGCACTGGGGGATAGACGAGAGAGCTTTCTCATCCTTTGCATCAATGACTTCTATTGCATGTATCTCTCACACACACACACACACACACACACACACACACACACACACACACACACACACACACACACACACACACACACACACACACACACACACACACACACACACACACACACACACACAACACACACACACACACACACACACACACACACACACACACACACACACACACACACACACACCACACACACACACACACACACACACCACACACACACACACACACACACACACACACACACACAACAAAAACAACACAAACACCAGCTGCACTTCCTAACAAGCATCCTCTGTTTCTCTCTCAGCTCTATGAGTGGCTTCCTCTCACTGCAAACATGTTCTTGTGCACATAAACACACTTGCACACACACACACATCAAGCATTGAGGCCTTGATAGCGCTGCCTTTCAGGAAGCCCATTCACAAAAGGCAGACCTGTGTGCACGCCGCCGGAGAAAAGAGACCCGACGCTTCATTCACAAACGAAAACTTTTTCTTTTTTTGAAGCGCTCTCCAAAGAACATAATACCGCTCTTTAGCTCCACTTCCAGCCCTGACATCATAAACACAAAGGTCTGCAGAAGAAGTAAACTAAAACACGGGTTTGTGGTTGGTCGGCTATAAAACATGAACGTATTGCTCCAAACAAAAAAAGGAAATATGTCAAAGACACAGAGGGATTCAGAAAAATTGATTTTGAATCGATCCAAATTAGTTTTAAAACTCCAACAAGGAGAGAGTGGTGCAGGAATGAGTCCTAAAACCCAGAAATTAGTTAGCCCTTTCCTAATCCAGATCCCTCGTGTTTAGCTCAATGTTTTGGGTTTTTAACCTGAAATAAGGTCTGTGGTTAACACAAGCTGAAGAGATTTTCACGTCTTGTTCTATGACATTAAATAAGTCGGTAAATACCCCACTGGTGGATTTAAAAACTGCTAACAAGTGTCTAAATGAGACGACTTAACGCCTAACATTAGCTGCCTTTAGCTTAGCGGTGGTGACGTGAAGTCATGTGACCGTGCTGTAGTTCCTTTATAGCCCAACATTAGCCACCTGTAGCTTAGCGGTGGTGACGTGAAGTCATGTGACCGTGCTGTAGTTCCTTTATAGCCCAACATTAGCCGCCTTTAGCTTAGCGGTGGTGACGTGAAGTCATGTGACCGTGCTGTAGTTCCTTTATAGCCCAACATTAGCCGCCTTTAGCTTAGCGGTGGTGACCTGAAGTCATGTGACCGCGCTGTAGTTCCTTTATAGCCCAACATTAGCCGCCTTTAGCTTAGCGGTGGTTACGTGAAGTCATGTGACCGTGCTGTAGTTCCTTTATAGCCCAACATTAGCTGCCTTTAGCTTAGCGGTGGTGACCTGAAGTCATGTGACCACGCTGTAGTTCCTTTATAGCCCAACATTAGCCGCCTTTAGCTTAGCGGTGGTTACGTGAAGTCATGTGACCGTGCTGTAGTTCCTTTATAGCCCAACATTAGCTGCCTTTAGCTTAGCGGTGGTGACGTGAAGTCATGTGACCTTGCTGTAGTTCCTTTATAGCCCAACATTAGCCGCCTTTAGCTTAGCGGTGGTGACCTGAAGTCATGTGACCACGCTGTAGTTCCTTTATAGCCCAACATTAGCCGCCTTTAGCTTAGCGGTGGTTACGTGAAGTCATGTGACCGTGCTGTAGTTCCTTTATAGCCCAACATTAGCTGCCTTTAGCTTAGCGGTGGTTACGTGAAGTCATGTGACCGCGCTGTAGTTTCTTTATAGCCCAACATTAGCTGCCTTAGCTTAGCGGTGGTGACGTGAAGTCATGTGACCTTGCTGTAGTTCCTTTATAGCCCAACATTAGCCGCCTTTAGCTTAGCGGTGGGGACGTGAAGTCGTGTGACCGTGCTGTAGTTCCTTTATAGCCTAACTTTAGCTTTTTACTTAAAAAATCGTGAAGTGGTGTTAATATGTAGGCCTAGAGATTATCCTGCTGAACAAAACCTGTCAGTATCATAAACGTTTGTTTGTCACAGATCTACAAAAACTACAAAAACTCGTCATCACCGCACCACTGTGTTAGCCCTAACCTTTCTAAAGCAGCACAGGGAACAGTTAAAGGATGTTGTTGCTGCAGGGACCATGCAACCTCTGCATGCACTCCTATCTGTAAACTCACCCTGACTTAATTATATGTTTAAGCAACTCTTGCTATAATCCCCCCTCCTTTTCAGGAAGCACACACACAGACGTACACACAGATCATGCCCCCCTAAAGGCCAGGCTAAGCTATAGATCCATGGTGACATAAATCACTGAGACACTGATTCCTTGAGTGGCTTTTCTACCCATCCTGAGGGGAAAAATGCTCCATATTGCAAATGGATTCTCTGTTTTATCATGCTGTAATATTTGATCAATCAGAGAACAAATACTTGTTTCCCCTCTATGACTTCAGGGCAGTGGTTGAATGTACTTCACTAAGTAATATATTGAATGCAGGAGTTTTACTTGCATCAGTGTTTTTCTTACAATTTGGTATTGATACCTTTTCTTGGGTAAAATATCAAGTACTTTTTCCACCACTGCTTCTGTGTGAGTGGAAACACACTGTAATGAAAACAACAGTCAGAAGAAAAAAGGATATTTTGTCTCTCCCTCTCTTTCTCTCCCACATGGAAAATCATATATTGAGCTTCTGAAAAGTAATGCTCTAGTTGCAGTGCAGAAAGGGAGAATGTTTTTGGGCCGTTGTAGTGAAAAACACAGACACACAGGCAGACAGGCTCTTAAAGGGCCAGCGCTCATCTGTCCGGCTGAACTCCGTGACTCCGGCTCTGAGAGAAACATCTGCAGGAGCCTGCCGTTGTTTCTGGGCAGATCCACAGCCAGTTTATTTATTTCATTATTTTGTTCCACTCTATGAATATAAAACAATTCACAAAACATGTAGAATTTAAGCAGTTTATATACAGCTCATGACAGAAAGGAGCTAAGAGAAGAAAGTCTTATTGTACCACTTAGTGAAAAATAGATAGTCTGTCAATCACAGCTGCTTACAAACCAATAATTAAAGTAACATGAATACAAAATCAACGAACAAATCTAAAATAAAGACCTTTTTTTAACAAAGCATGGAGACATGTCACAGTAGACGCACAAAGTACAAAAATAAACCTGATAATGAGCATGATAGGGCCCCTTTAACATTGACTTAACTTAAATTAAGCTTTTAGTTGTAAATAATAACCATTTGCAGACTATTTAAATGCACACAAACCTATATAACACACTACAGGGAAAGGAAAAAGCAGAACAGGTTCACTTGAAGCATATCCCACTGCTCGATGGACATAAATGAGAAGGCAGATCGTTCAAAGAAAATCCGCCTCAGTGGGATGTTTAAGTCTAAATTTAGAGCGGATGTTGAGGTTGTGTACATATATGTACAATGTGTGTCGTCTGCCTGACTGTCTGCGTGTGTGTGTATGGGTAAGCCACTGCGATGACGCCTGTTTCTCGCTATAACCAAATCATGGCAGCTAAACAGACGCTCACCGAGGCCCTGCGTCAGAATACCAATGAAGAAGAAGACCTGTTTATCACATCATAACACACACACACACACACACACACACACACACACACACACACACACACACACACACACACACACAACACACACACACACACACACACACACACACACACACACACACCACACACACACACACACACACACACACACACACACACACACACACACACACACACACACACACACACACACACACACACACACACACACACACACACACACACACACACACACACACACACACACACACACACACACACACACACACACACACACACACTTCTGCCGGATGCCTCGGGGTGTGTGACTGAGACTTAAAGCAATGTTCTTTTCTGTCTAAGCACCTGATAATCCCTGCAGGCAGAAAGTTAGTCTCTTACACAAACACACAGAAAGAGATACATTAGTGGAGAAAGTCCTGCTGGGTTTAAACGTGTGTTATTTACCTGCATCAACCCGTGTATAAATAAATAAAACACCTTCTCTCTTCTCCCAGACTGCACCTGGAAAAAGTCCCCCGACCAAACGCTTCACTGGGAGCGAGCTAATGTAGTCACAAACACGCTCGACACACACACACACACACACACACACACACACACCACACCACACACACACACACACACACACACACACTACACACACACACACACACACACACACACACACACACACACACACACACACACACACACACACACACACACACACACACACACACACACACACACACACACACACACACACACACACACACACACACACACACACACACACACACACACACACACACACACACACAACGTGGTTTCTCACTCAGCAAAGGACTTCTGTCACAGCCTAAACACACAATACTGATACTGCTTTGCATGTGATTCTCCATTGGGACGGGGAAAATGTATTTATGTGAAAATCAAGATGCCGGTTCACCACCTTCTGAAAGAAATGTTTACAGTAAATAGTCACAGAAAAATTAATTCTGTGACAGTAATCCTAAATACAAAGTCATACAGTTTATTTGATGTATAATTAATTCAAGCAAGCTTCTGAAAAATAAAAAGGCAGCTAGTCAAAGCCATATCAATTTCTTATAAGGACTGGCAGGAGTTTGTTTTTTTCTTTTATCTTGAACTACTTGAAATCACAGAGATTTAAGAAATACTTAAAACGTTTTAGTAAGAAGTCTTAATTTGGGCAAATTTTGCATGGGAAATATTAACTTTTGTCTGAGGTTTGCCTTTGTGCGTAGAGACACGAGACACTTTACTCTGCTTTTGTGGCATATTTCGACACGTGCAATTTTTAAAGTAGATCCTGAAATTAGCACCCTTTTTTTTTTTTTTTAATCGAAAGTCCACTTTAAATTAGGAATTGTTTTCAATAGAACAGATATGTATTCAAACCGAGTTTGCATTGTTTAAAATTTGAATTAAAGTATTTGTTTTGTACTTCTTACTTCCTAAAGACATCACGAATAACTTTCTCAAATAAATTAAACACAAAATAATATTGTAAATCTTCTAATTTGTAAAAATGTTCAACAAATGTTTGTTGAGCATTTGACACAACTGTGACTTGTATGATGGATTTACTCTGCTTTTATTGTACAATTTGACATGCATTTATTAAAGTAGATCCTATGTAGTGAATTGAGAATACATTTTTTAAATAAGGAATTGTTTTAAATAGAATAACAACACATTCACCGCCCTCTTTGGCACATGAAGACGTTTTTGAGCCGACAGCTCCTGTGACAGCGGTTTGATCAGAAGTGTGTATCCACAAACACTGAGGAGTGTTGCATCACATTTCTGCTGAAAAGTGTTTCATCCTCATTGCACACACACCTGTGTGTGTTGAAAGCATGCAAACAGGAGCGGTTACAAAACACACTTGGCTTCAAAAGAAATATGTGTCATAGTTATTTAGCAACAGCTCCTGACGCTCGGGGAGGACGGCCCTCGTTTCCTACGAGTCAGAACCGTAAATAAGGTCATGACCTTCCTGTTGCACACACACACACACACACACACACACACACACACACCACACACACACACACACACACACACACACACACACACCACACACCACACACACTACACACACACACACACACACACACACACACACACACACACACACACACACACACACACACCACACACACACACACACACACACACACACACACACACACACACACACACACACACACACACACACACACACACACACACACACACACCACACACACACACACACACACACACACACACACACACACACACACACACACACACACACACACACACACACACACACACACACACACCTGATTATTTGTACACTGTAGAAGTGCTAGTTTTACCTAAGTAAAGTATTTGAGTACTCCTTCCACCTCCGGTTAAGTGTAACACCTAACCCCCACAAAAATGGACATTATTATGTGATCGTACAGCTGACGTTTCAAATAAATGAAAATATACATTTCTCACAATCCCAGGGTTGAGAATGAACTGCAGTTGGTTTTCATGCATGAAAAGCAGGTCATGGATTGCCAACCTTCACAAAACATGTAAATATATGTTAAATGTTATTTATTTAAGATTACAAGGTCATATGTTTTTACAGCTACTAGTTTAACCTGTGAGTTTCTGTTATTTATTTCATTTTTTCATGGCCTTTTCTCAATACTTAAGTGCAGAGATTAACAGGAAATGAACGAGTTATTAATGGATCAGCTCAACATGGTGTTTACGTTCGACAAAGAGGAACACAAAGCAGCAGGTGATGTTTTCCCCCAGCAGACTTTCCATTGTGGAAAAATACTCTTTGCCGTTTTGTTTGATCATCTCCCGTGTGCAAATGTTATTGAGTGTGTCGAGTGACCACAATGCACCTGTTCCTCTTGCAGTCACACAGCGAGCATTTGTTGGGGGTGACAGTTACATCACTGATCAGGTAATAATGGCAGCGTCAATAACACAGCACTGTTTATAGTGGCCCTACAGGTGTGTGTGTGTGTGTGTGTGTGTGTGTGTGTGTGTGTGTGTGTGTGTGTGTGTGTGTGTGTGTGTGTGTGTGTGTGTGTGTGTGTGTGTGTGTGGTGTGTGTGTGTGTGTGTGTGTGTGTGTGTGTGTGTGTGTGTGTGTGTGTGTGTGTGTGTGTGTGTGAGACGTACGTAGTGGAGTTGATGGTGGTGTATCCCGAGGGACACTCGGGGATGCAGGCTCCGTTGTGGATGACATACTCGTGGCAGCCCTGCTCTCGGTCCTGGTTCAACTTCTTACTCTGAGTACACTGGTTGTGGAGCTCCTGGATTTAAAACAAGGAAAACACAAATAAAACACACGTTGACACCAACATAGGATGTTTACTCCGTCTAAAACGATTACTTTAAGTCACTTTAAGTCAATAAAACCAATATAGGTGTGTTTTGGTTTAATACATATAATGATTTATGGGAACCCTTCAGTCATTTAGAATTATTTGTATATTTCCAATATGTTTTTTATTTACATTTACCTAGACTAACAAATAATACTTATTTTCTGAATTCACTGTCCAATTACTCCATGAAGGTACCCTTTTATATCTTTCACACATCTGTCTTTTTAAAATGGCCCTTTTCCCCTATATTTAAACATTGAATTTCCCCTGAATGGACACCCGTTGTCCCTCAATAAAAACAGTCCAATACCAGTGTTTTATTTTAGTAAAACCACATGTCTTTTACCCAAATTGTAGATGTTTAGATATTTAAACGGGAAGCGATCAACAGCTTTTATTTTAGAACAGAGTGGACCCTGCGCTCATGCAAACATCAGTGCAGCCAGCAGGGCTGAACACAGGAATACAAAAGTGATGGGAATAGCTTATTTCAGCAAGTTTTCTCAGGCCACCCTAATGCCATACCAAAACTCACCTTTTCAGACTAGCTTTGAATGTGTAATTAATGCTGTGTCCTTGTGATAAATGTTGTTTTATTCCTCGGATTTACTTACAGTTGTGGTCAAAAGCGCCTAATTGAGGTGAAAATGGCCAAGGGACGTGTTACAAATGTGTATCATTGCTATATGTATATTTTTGACCCAGCAGATTTGATCACATTTTCAGAAGACCCATTACAAATTCATAAAAGAACCAAACTTTATGATTTTTGTTTTGTGACAAAGTAGTATGTGCTCCAATCACTCTATCACAGAAAAATAAGAGTTGTAGAAATTATTGAAAGGTCAAGACCAGGGTTCATACACTTTTTCACCAATGATTTTCAATGACTTTTCCATGACTTCTCCATGACCTTTACCTAATTTTCCATGACCAAAACAAATCTCTCACCAGCAAAATACCTCGTCAGTTAAATGCCATTTTACGTTTCATTACTATACGATACAGTATTTATTATCATTATAGTATTACTATTTCGGCGATTAGATAAAATATAAATTATATTTGATGCAACTTTAGTTACATTTCCATGACTTTTCCAAAACTTTGGGAAAAATATTGTTTTCCATAACTTGGAATTATCATTTTGAATTTCCATGACTTTTCCAGGTTTTTAATGACCGTAAAAACCCTGCAAGACTGTCATGAAATACATGTTCTTTACAAGTGTATGTAAACTTTTGAACACAACTGTCTTTGAGCACCTGATAAAGTGCTTGATAAATACAATACATTATTATTAATATTGTTATTCTGACCCACCTGGCAGAAGGAGAAGCTGATGCAGCGCCAGCCCCGGAACACGTAGAACCCGGCGGGACACTTGTCCACGCAGGTGTTCCCGTGCTGCAGGTTCCGGCAGGACACGCAGGAGCTGGAGTTCCCCGGCTCCGAGCAGCCCCCCAGGCACTGGTCGTGGCAGCACTGACCCTGCAGGCTGCACGCACTGTGCTTACAGTTGTCCAGGCACACTGAGGAGGAAGAGGAGGAAGAGGTTAACATCAGGACTGAGCCATTTGGAGGATAACTCATTGCGATCATTAAAATATAGTAGAAAATAGTGCAGAATTCTACATGGAACAAGTGTCATTCTACTGCTTTAAAGTCAAAACTGCTCCAATAAATCAAAATATGCTCAAAGATTGTAGGTCGACCGTTTCAGACACTATGAATCAGCAGACCATGACAAAATATTAACATTGTTTATTCTAAAAAAACAGCAACAGGACAACCACTGAAAGATTTCAGACTTGATCCGATGAATGTAATTATTGTATCATCTTGATATTAGAGGCAATCCTTTTAGAAACATACTTTTTTGGGGGAAACCAGTGCCTTAATTTAAGTGGTAGTTTTGAAAAGGGGAGACAGAGGGGATGAAACGCAGCAAATGGTCCTATATAGGATTTGAACAACCAGTACATGCGCCGCTAATACCAACTGATCTATATGACAGCTCTCATGTTTTCTTTTCTAACTAGAACTAGAACGGAAAAATAACCTGCAGAGGCCGAGCAGATTTCATTTAATTTAATATCATTTTACCTTAAATGTAGCAACTGGGACTAAATCTAATTCCACCCATGGGATCTGATATATATATATATGTATGTATACATGTGTCTGTTGATTGTGTATATATAGGTATATACATATTTGTATTTATATTTGTATTTTGTATTCGACTTTGATAATCACCGGCCACAACTTGCATGCTACCTTGCATGAAGGAACCTGTAGTTGTGTTTATGACATTAAACCTTTGGATTCTGAAATGGAAAAACATTTAACAAGACAATCCCTCACTGCACACCGAATGTCCACCATGTACTCCTGATGTCCAGCAGCAGCAGTTTGCACCACCTTAATTGCTAATAGGCTGAGCATTACATGTTATTGGCTCATGTCAAGTTTAATTTGACCTATCGGGAAAACAGCATTTGGTGAAAGAGCCTAGGTGTCAATTGTGATTGGATTAGCTTTCCCGGTTGACCCGTCCCTGGTAATGATCTAATAAACTCTCTGTTATTGCCCCGGCTGAAGCCAGTGAGACGCATTACACTCAGATGATTCCAGGCTGACCTTTTTACAGATTACAGACACTGACTGGAGGATACAAAATCCACATAAGCAGTGTTTGAGTTAAGCTTTTTCCTCACCTCTCACTGTAACAGGTCACTAGATATCTCTATCGAAATACCAGACTACTTTTAGGGATTGTTTACTAAAAAATAAGTGACTTTTTTTAAACAACATTTCCGTGGTTTCTTTGACAGGTGCTTATTTATTTCCCTAAAAGTGATGTGTAAGATTACTGAGGATTCTGATTTAGTGTAAAATCCTCTGGTATTTTAGACGTGTCAGTGATATTTTTAGTGTTTAGTATCTTGGCCCCTATTCTAAATCTTCGGATGGTTTACCTGGTGTGCCATTTCACATATCTCCATTATATCCTAAGATTTTACATGTATTTTTAAACTGTGTGAATACAAGTAATTGAACTGAACAAGTGTACAAATCAACCAAATGTTCAAAATCAACCATTGAGATGTATCAGATTAGGTAAGTCACTAAAACATGAAACAAAAAACTAGGAAAATCAATTGTTTCAACCTTTCCTTTTGGATACACTGGAAAAACAGCCAACTATCTGCCCTCACACTGGGCTTCCTGTCTGTGACCCTGAGTGTTAATCTCTCACCGTGTTTCTCTCTCTACTGTCAGCTTTCATTTCATGTGCTAACTGAGTGCAGGGCAACAAGCAGAACTAGGTCAAATAACAACATCCATAATCATATTTTTCACCACTTTAAGTCCCTTATAGGTGAGAAGTTACACCATCAAGGACAGGAGGATTCTGGGTTCAAAAGACCAAACTCAACAGACTTTTTAAAGACTCTGCCGTGTTCTTAGAGCAGAAGGAAAGTTAGATTTAAGACTAATACAAATAATTAATAATACAAGTCAAATTTTATTAGATGTTAACTCAACATTTAAGAAATAGATTTGTTTTTAATACAAAGTCAGGAGAAAAAAAGCCCAAATTCCCACTTCCCAAGTCTTGACATTTTTAAGATTAGTTAAATCCCATTTAAGGTATTATTTTAGACTAATAACTTAAATGCTTTGTTAGACTTTTTAAGGACCCTGTCTAACCTCTAACCACTAATGCTAATGCTAACCCTGTGTTAGCTCCAAAGTGCACTGGGGGCACAGTATGCCAGCCTCCATGGGATGCCACCTTTATAAGGACATCACATGAGCAGTGCCAAGGATACTGTCTGTAAGAGAGGGCTGCCCACGCTGCTGCCTGAGTGAAAGCAGAGTGGACAGCTAGGGTAATAGCAGGGGGGAGCGAAGGGTTGAGGGGGGGGGGGGGGGGGGGGGGGGGGGGGGGGGGGGGGGGGGGGGGGGGGGGGGGGGGGTGGGGGGGGCGATAATGAGGTTAAAGGAAAGAACAATGACGGAAGGTGTTGGGAAAATACTGAATGTCCTCTTCCAATATGAGAGTAACATGATAACAAAGGTATCCCAACTGTAGCTGTGAACATGTCAGGATGTATGATTACCTAGAAGGGCATCAGGACTGTTTTAGGCATATGATAGCTATGTGATTAACATGATGATTCAGCCTCTATGGAGATAGACATATGACAAGCATGATCATTTCTGACGTGGAGCTAATCTGAAGTAAACATTGAATACTGCTTTCTATTCCTCCATCTTGTGACTGTGTAACTCCCTCTCTTGGATATCAGCATGTGAAGGACACTGTTCAGGAACTAGTTGATGCTCTGTATGTGATGACTACTTCCATTCTTGAGAGGATCATAAATACATGGATCCTGAGATTGAAGCTCAAGCCGGTGACGAGTGATATTTTCTTAACAGAAGGAAAGGGGGAATGACTAATGTAGAAAAAATAAACAGTCTCCGACCTTCTGGGGTAGTTCACCCAGGGGTCGCAGTGCTGCGTTTTCTTTACTAGTGAAGTGCACACTCTGAGCCACACAGAGAGAAATGCACAGCCCTCCCCCTCCCGTCTGTCTGATACACGCTGAGAGCATCACCGAGCAGAGAGGGAGGGCTCAGAGGATCCAGATCCAGAGCAGGATCCATGCCGGAGAGCCGCTGCAGCCCCAGATCCACCCTCAGCTTCAGCCAATGTGTTTGCTGACTGGGGGAGGCAGCCATTCAATGGCCTCCTCCATGTCGGGGAAGAGAGACGCCCAGCGTTAACCCTGGCCTCGCTGGGGCAGACAGGGGGCAGACGCAGAGACCGGGGGGGAAAACTCTGCTGCTGCTGCTGATCGCTGAATCAGAGCAGTTTAACACTGGAGCCGAGCCACTACACAGACAAATCCATCCAACACTGGGTCCTGAAAACTGTTGTTTACATCCAACTGTTATTCATCTATGCACTATAGTATTTTAGGACGCGTATGTGCCTTTTCCTTTTCGGTTTCTATGTGATCCCAGCACATGAAAAACTGTTGTTTACATCCCACTGTTGAATCAATACAAAGGTGGAAAAGGTCAATGTAGTAGATTAGTATTTTGTCTATATTTCTTTAATAATTGGATCTATTTTGACCCTTTTCCTTTCCGTTCCTGTCTGTTCCCAGCACATGAAAAACTGTTGTTTACATCCCACTGCTGTATTCATAGAAAAGGGCAGTAAGTCAATGCACTTGCTTAGTAATTAGTTTTTAATTCTTTATTAATTGGATATATTTTTACCCCTTTCCTCTCTGGTTTCTATTTGATCCCAGCACATAAATTCAGTAGTTTACAGCCTACCGCTGGAATTGAATAAATCAGTACACTACCTTTTAGATACTTTATATATTATTATACCCTTTCCTCTCCTGCCTATCTGAATTAAATCAAAACACTACTTCGGTATATATTCATAATTTTCCTGTACTGTTTTTCTCAGAACTAAATCTTTACACAACCTTGGCTTTTCATCTTTATTTTCTTTTATTAATACTAATATATTTAGCCTTTCGCTCTCCTCCTTTCCCCTTTTTCCCAGCTGTTTACATCTCTGTGTTAACGTGCAATAAACCAATGCACTACCTTGTATTTTCTTCAATAATCCACAGTAAGTTGTGAGTCTTTCCTCTCCTGTTTCTATCTGCACAGCAGGGAGTACAGTAGTAGCACATCAGCATCACTGCAGCATTATTCCCCATTCTGCTCACGCTAGCACGATGCTACACAAGCTAGCTGCTATGCCAAACATGCTCCAGTCAGCTCACTCATTCATTCATCGCCTCCTCCTCTTCCTCTCTCTCTCTCTCTCCTCACCCTGCACCACTATCTCTCTCTCTATCTGCCTGCCTGCCTTTCTAGGCCACTCCACCCCTCCCACTTTCATTCATACAACGCTTTGTTTTGTTTTCGTGCTGGCTGGCTGTGATGGGGGGGATGGAGGGACGAAGGAGGCATGGATGGAGGGATGATTCCACTCTTGCTTCAAAAACAAGAGGAGAAGGAGGACGTGGAAACATCCTGGATAGCTTATCTCTCATTAAGCTAAACACACACACACACACGCAAACCTCACTGTGTCATTCAATAATTTGCTTCCTTACTCACACACACACACACACACACACACACACACACACACACACACAGGGTTTGAAACGCAGAGCCGCCTGATCAAAGGTGTGTTGTGTTTACCTTTCATTTGGCTGTGGCAGTAAAGGCTGCTGGGTCCCCGGGGGAGGGAACATGGGAGAAGCCGGGCAGCCAATAGCGTGCAGCCACACACGGCAACACTTCCTGCTCTTAACACATAAAAACCTCCCCTTTAATTGGCAGTGTTGTCTACAAGGCGAAGAGCTGGGAACAATAACAAACACGTTTTTACCCCAGAGCCATTTACTCAGGAGAGCACACACACGCGCACGCACGCACACACACACACACGGACACAGCTGCTGGATTCACGTTTACTATA